TAAAATCACCTTCATGGTCATGATTTCTATTGTGTTTTCTTCATGAATGATTAATGAGTTTTCTAAAGATATATAGATATTTATGCTGTTTGTTCGTCTATAAGAATCACAAACGTTGCATTGGACTAGCTATGTTTGATGAGGACACAGCGCAGTAATGAGACGCCAATGTTGGCAAACTTTTGGCCACGAGTGTGGCCGTTTATTAACATAACTAATACAACTGTATTTTGGGATTTTCCCAACATGGTAAGTCCACTACTTACAATGCAATGTTCTCATCAAAGGTGAGGGTCAAACCGCCACAACTGGCGGAAGGATCTACCAGAAAGAATATTATTCGGGAGGACGATGGGGTGGTTGAGGGAAAATTCGCTCAACACTGATGTTGCGTGGGCGATCAGGAAGGCTCGGGTATTTGCATATCTTATATTAGGTCCCTCGCCGATTGTACCGGAAGTCTCACAGGCGGAATAATGTGGTGAAATGATAGTGAAATAATGTGGTGAAATAACCGGCATCGCGGAGTTCATGGGTTCGATTCCCGTTGAAGCTTGAAATCATTTTTTCAAGTCTTTCTTTACAGCGTTCGCTTAGATCGCTCATTCACTGTGATGATCAACACATCTATCATTATTTCACCAAAGTTCTACCCATTCAATATTCACACTTATTACATATAGTGGCTTGATGAACCCAACAAAAAATGACCGCTCGCCAACAGGATTGGCTTCATAGCTCAGTTGGCAGAGCATCGCACCGGCATCGCGGAGGTCATGGGTTCGATTCCCGTTGAAGCTTGAAATCATTTTTTCAAGTCTTTCTTTACAGCGTTCGCTTGGATCGCTCATTCACTGTGATGATCAACACATCTATCATAACTAATACAACTGTATTTTGGGATTTTCCCAAAATGGTAAGTCCACTACTTACAATATAATGTTCTCATCAAAGGTGAGGGTCAAACCGCCCAAGACCGATGAATGGACATGAATCGGGCACCCCACCCAAGGCCAATGCAATGTTTTGATCGCTATATTTTAAGTAATAACAGTAACTATGAATTATGTATCGTAAAATTCTAACATGGGCTTTATGTTCACGCGGAGTATCGTTACGTCTTAAACTTAACGTACGATTTTCGCTCCTGCCGAAAGTCTTCCTAGACCTATTATTAACGTAAATGCGAACTTAAGTTGGCAACCTCGATCAGGACATGATATACGATCTTCGCTCCTGCTGAAGTCTTCAAAATATATATTCTATTACGTGAATGCAATCTTAATTTTCGCTGCATTGATGTCTTTTTATTGTTAACTACTGAACGGCTTTATGCTTTCATTGCGTAAAATCACATTGTTAACGTAACGTATTACTTTCGCTCCTGCTGAAAGTCTTGCGAAGTATTGTAATAATAATTTTAGTAATCCACTACCCGGAGTATGGTTGAGAATTATTTCCTTCGCTCCTGCTGAAGGACGATTCCGCTATCTAAATGAGGGCGATGGCCTTACGGCAAGCGGCTTTAGAACTTACAGTGAAGGGGAACGTACGTATTTTAGGAAGGCATTCGACTTCCATCGGCCGAAGCGTCTGATTTGTGCGTCTGAAAATTCCTGGGCTGAAGCCCAGGAGGGAGCCCCTATTCGAAAACTGTGTGTTTTGTAAAGAGATGTATCTAATCCGCAAAATATTAGGGCTTGTCTAAGCGCTTCTACAAACTGAGCGCGTTGCACTGAGGAATTATCTGGCCAGCAGAACAAGGGCCCGTCTCGAAGATGTCTTACGCTTAGGTATTCGGCGATTAAGGTAACCGGGCAGATGGGTTGTGACTTGTGCATTATCACATTTGAAGGGTGGTTTACATTGCTGTGTTTAAAAAATCTCAGCGTAAGCTGAATCGACATCGTGGTATCGTCTGCTGATTTCAAAAAGGTAATCTGATTGAGCTTAATTACATTTCTGATGATTTGCCCGTGGTTGCATGTCATTTCACCTACTCTAAGAGCAGCAAAAAATGCCGTAGCGCACATGGCTTTCATCAACCGCTTGCGGTAGTCAAGCGATATGGTTTGGTCAAAAGCATGAACTATTTGCTCTAGTAGCGGTAAGGTTATAGGTAGCCTAGAATCAAGAGACGGATGTATCTTCGAGTACCCTTTTAAAGCCAATTTACAACCGGCAGATTGAGTGGGGTCTGACACCGATGCTAATCGATGTGTGTAGCTAATAGCGGAAATGTATGTGAAAACTGTAGAAGCCGCGTATTTTTGCTTTGCTAGATAGGCTACGAATAACGTTATGCTATCTGCGTTAATTGGGAGGGCGAATTTCGGTGTGCCAAAGTAGCAGTGGTGGAATTCTCTGAAAATTTTCCAAGAAATTTGGTAGGTAGGCAGTGAGGAGTGACTAAGGGAGCTATGCAGCAATGAAGTTAAAATATCTCCCAGTTCTCCGGTAGGAGATGTTTGGGGATGGGAGTTGCAGAGGCTTCCTTCCCTGTCGCGAGATTTCTGAATTTTTGGATCTGAAAACGAGATAAACTGTCAGCAAGAGTGTTCGCTTTACCACGTATATGTTTAGCCCTAAAAAGTATGTTGTGCTGTAGGCATGTGAGCACTAAACGTCGTATCAAGGCCAGCATGTCTCTGTCTTTGGATGTTTGTTTGTTAATCGCGAATACCACGCTTTCGTTGTCAGACCGAAAGAGTACTCTTTTATTTGTCAATTGCTCGCACCACATGCTGACATCTACAACGATGGGAAAAAGTTCCAGCATAGCTATGCTTTTCTTTTTCCAGTTCTCTGGCCATTTGCCATAAGTCCATCGCTTATTAAAGATAATACCATAGCCTAGTGATTGTGCAGCATCGGTGTAAAATTCCAAAGCATCAGATGAGCACCAGTTATCCTCTAGAAACATTGTTCTGCGATTGTGAGTTATCAAGAATTGCTTCCAAATAGCTAGATCTTTCCTTACCTCGTTATTTAAAGAAATGTAGTCATGGGGGCGTTTTATGCCTAATGTTAGGTTTCCGGGAACCACGGTTATACAAGCAAAATTGAGTAGTCCTATTAGTGATTGTAAATCCCTTAGGGTTACTTTTTTACGTGACTTTGTGTTTTCAATAGCCCTGAGACACTTGTCGATTTTGTCCTGTGGAAGCCTGGCCTCAAACTCAATACAATAAAGTTCCACACCTGCGAAACTCAACGTGTGTGCTGGCCCTTCCGTTTTCTCCTGAGCAATCGGCACACCCAAGTCCGCGCATAAGGCAAGAAATTGATCAAGCTGGGCTTTACATAGGGAGAGGGATTCTGCTACGATCAAAAAGTCATCCAAAATGTGGATCATGCTGTTAATGCCTAATTTGTTATGTGCTATCCATTCAAGGGAAGAGCTAAATTGCTCAAAAATTCTGCAAGAGCTAGCACATCCCATTGGAAGGCACCTGTCGATATACCATTTGCCTTGCCACTGGAAACCCAGTAATGCATAGTCTGCTGGATGCACAGGGATAATGCGGAATGCACTCTGGATACCTGTTTTGGCCAAAGCACAACCCCTCCCTAACTTCTTAATTAATTTGATTGCATCGTCTACACTGGCATAATGAACCGAGGTAAATTCTTGTGGGATGCCTTCATTAACTGAATCTCCGGCTGGATAGGACAAATTCTGTATCATTCGATACTTGCCTTCTTTCTTTTTAGGAATGACGCCTATGGGTGACACGCGCAAAGGTGTAACAGGGGGATAAACGAAAGGGCCAGCAATGCGACCTAAGTTTATTTCTTTCTTAAGCTTAGCTTCGATAACCAGGGGGAGTTGTTGAGCAGACAAAAGGTTGTGTGAAAATTGGTTTTTACGTTCTCCTTGGAACTCTAATTTGAAACCCTCTGTAAAACCTGTTATTATCTTGTTAGCAATCATTGTGTCATAGCCTTGTAAGTAAGAAGCTAATTTGGTTACATCAACCGGAGTTGGTAGGATGGGAAGTATCTGGGTATCTAGTAGTTGAGGGCTTTTGAAAATTGTTTGACTTTGGTGATTGTTTGCACTGTGAAGCTGTATGGCTTCCGTTACATTTATAACATTGGTGCTTAAAGGTGCAACCATGACAGGGGGCCCTTGCATGGAATTTGAAACAATATCCCTTTGGGGTTTGAAAGGAGCCTTGTTTTGCACGAAAATTGCGGTTATTGCCTGACTTTCTTAACTGATGTGAGCGCAGCCATAGCTCTGTATGTATTTGGTCCCATGGGAGGGGATCGGACTTTCTCAGGGCACGAAAAGTTTCGTCATAAAATTTCCAGTCTGCTGAGTTATGTGAGAGGTCCCGGATGATTGACATATACTTCATCATGCTGGCACACTGAGCAGGAAATTTTTCAGTATATATGGCCACATACACTAAAAAGCCATTGGTCCAGCTATCTATATTATAGAAGGACTGCTTCTTTTGATTGGGAATCACCGACAGGGTAGGCTGCCCCCTAACTTTTAGTGACTTAATGCTATAGCTATCATCTACTGGTTGATTACTGAGCAATAATCCTAGATCTACATAATCATTGGCCCAAATTTTGCTCTTGATCTTGTCAGGGATCGCAGAGCCTAATGGGAGAGCAACTGATATGAAATTGTTCTTACTTGTGTAGGCTTCTTTAATATGTGTGTGTTTCGATGTTTATATAAGGATGTGGACAGATACATCCTTTTCGACAAATATATATTAGTCGTGGATATTTAGAGCCTTCTTGTTGACAAGCATAAGTAGGAAATAACGTATATAACTAAGCAGTATCTCATTCCACCAGAACGCCGCAATGATTATAGACAACTAGTTGCATTTGACTATATGGAACTATTCTTTTTTAACATGAGAAGCATTTTAAAACTCCAAAAAAAAAATAAAAAAATAAAATATATATATATATGCATTTTATATAGTCTGTATTGCCATATCCGCATACATTTCTTCTTTTACTGTATATAGCTAACGTACGCCTAGTGGGAGATTCATTCAACACAAACAACACGGAAGGTCGAGTAGAGGTTTTCTACAATGGTCAGTGGGGAACAGTTTGTGATGACGGCTGGGATCTTAAAGATGCTAAAGTTGTGTGTCGTTCACTGGGTTTACCAAGAGCAGTGTCTGCACCACAGGGCGCCGCCTTTGGTCCAGGAACTGGTCCAATCTGGTTGGATAATGTACGCTGCAGTGGAAGTGAATCATCTTTGTTTCAGTGTGGGCATAATGGACTGGGTTCGCATAATTGTGGACATGGAGAAGATGCAAGTGTTGTGTGTGGACCCCCATCATGTAAGTCAATTATTGATCATGGTATATGCATTCAGACACAAATATGTAGAATGGAAAAATATAATCAAGGGAAAATATTAGAGGAAAATATTCTTGAAATAGGAAGGGAACTTAATTGCTCGGTCTTCTTTTAATGACAAATGTAAGAGAACTCCCTCATTTTAATGACTTGTCAATAGACAACCTATCATTGAGCAATGGCAAGTCATTCCTAATGACTTGTTTATTAATCTAAGGGTCAAGGATATTTGTTTTTTCACGATAACTTGGTTATCGCTGTTTGGTTATTTTTTATCATCAATAAGAGTACAGACAGATAAAGCTGACGTCAACGAGCGCACGCTCTTTCCGTTAGTTGTTTTGATCAGTAAAAATGAGAAGTTTTTATCGTTTTTGTTATTGTAAACAACAAATTGACATCATATTTTTATGTGTCTGTCCTCTTATTGACGATAAATTTCGCAATCACATTGTCAAAGTAGTATGCGGATCTACTTTGACAATGTGATTTGTTAGATTGACATGACCTTCCAGTTTTAATTAAGGCATACTTTTTTTAGTTAACTGCTCCCTTTTCAATATTTTTCGTATTTATACAGTGATTTCCTTGAATATTACGAAACTCACTGGTGAGATCAGCAGTCCCGGATACCCAAGATCATTGGAACGAGCCCACTACGAGTGGATATTCAGACCTCCCATACCACGTGCACGTATAGCTTTGTATTTTGAAGACATCGATTTGGATCGCAGTTACATGAGTGGGTCAGTATGATTAAATGTCTTGTTTACTTTAGCAACGTTGTAGATCTTGTGTATAAAAGGTGCGATCTTAGAGAGTGATACCAGACATTGCTGTCAGGGCCACCTGTACTCTTGACAAATGGAGCAAATAATCAAATCGATAGATGGAGGGGATAAATTCCTAGGAAACTTAAATGAAACAAGAATGACGCACCAGAATTAAAGTACGTTTAGCATATAAATGGGGTTAGGAATGTGCTGTCTTGAATATTCGGGAATCAGACAAAAAAGTAGCAGCAACCATCTCAGTTATTGGGAAGAAAGCCTATAGCATGTAGAAGGACCTTTGTTTACCTGATATTCCAGCCTTCGAAGAGTTTTTGGAAATACTAAGAAATTACTATAAACACAAGGTTCTTAAAGTAGCTGAATCTTACAGGTTTCAACATCAGTTCAAGGTGAGAATGAAGCTGTCTCAGAATATGCGAAAAAACTTAGCAATTTTGGACTGTATTTACCAAGAGCCGTTTGAGAGACCAGTTTGAGACTATGAACGGCCTTAGGCTAAAGAAGGACAAGTTTCACTTCATGATAGACGAAATAAAATATTTGGGATTTTCAATCTCCACTGCAAGTATTTCAACAACGAAGGAGAAGGTCCAAGCCATTCTAGAGGCAGCACTACCCTCAACCTCAGATATAAATGTTGCCGAACTGCAATCGTTTATTAGTGTTGTTAATTTTCTTTAAAGGTTTGTACCCGATTTCCCAAGATTATGTTCCCGTTATACCAATTACTAAAGAAAGGAATAGAATACAAAGGCCGCTTTTTTGCTCTGACACTATTCTACGGCATTACGATCTTGCTGCTGAACTAGTCTATCAATGTGATGCTTCATCTATAGGGATAGGAGCCATATTACTTACGGCCTGGCTCAGATAGTGTGTTACAACCAGTCGCGTATGGCTCCCGGACTCCGAGTAAGGCAGTACACAACTATTCACAAATTCATTGCTATTCACTGCTAATGGCCATAGTTTTGGGGATACACCGGGTCAGCCCCTGATTATTCTACTAGTGTTTTTTAGCAAACAACAAATATTCAACCTCTATTTAGTTTTACAATTAATCTTCAAGAATTCGGTTCTTAATCAACTATCGTATGTTTTTCTTTCAAGAAAAAGCAGCTTCGTTCGCCTCCTATCGCGGGGGTGGGGGGGTCTTGATTCTAGCCCTCCTTACATGTCCATATTGTCCTGGAGATGTTCCATTGGGATCTCTTGTGGTTTGCAGTGTCAAGTTCCAGTACAAGATCGCCGACTTCCGCGTTCTCTCTCAGCCGATACCACTCGTTTCTGGGAAGTAACTTGGGTGCGAAGTACTTCATCCATCAGCTCCAGAATACAATGATTCTGCTGTGGGTGCTCTTAAGCAAGGATTGACTCTGTCCTCATCCTCTGGTTGGGGAGACGGGTTGTGATATTCAATAAGAATTTGGGAGTGATTTGCGGATGTTCCCAAACATTCTCAGAACTAGGATACAGGGGGCGTCCATTGACTAAGAATGTGACTTCAGCAAGGAAGGTTCTCCACTGTTCTTCTGTGAAGGATTGGTTCTTGCAGGTAGGGTTTAGAGATTGACTCAAGGACTTAATAAGCGATTCCACGACCCCGTTTTGACAGCTAGCATGATGAACATTGAAATCTTCTTCAAGTGTATTCTTTATCCTCTCATGAGCCAAATAACCTAGGCTTCTTTCAGCGTTTTTCTGTTTATGAGGATATGTAATGCGCCAAACATATCCATCGCCGTGTCGGTGAAGACACGGAAGCCTTTAGCTAGTCTAAGACTCGGAATCTGTCCCATCAACTGACCAAGGGGTTTCCTCCTTATTTTCTTGCAAATGATGCACGACTTGGTGAGCGACATTGCGATCCAAAATCTCCTTCTTGAATCATGTACCAAGTTCTACTAACCACAATGTCTCCGTCTCTTGTGCATCGGTCTCTCGTGCAAATTCTGAAGGAATAAGTGCAAGTGAGTTTGTGTTCTCTTGGTAAGAGGATAGGATTTCTCATCCTATCTGAGATCCTATCTTTGTCTGCTTTAGGAACATCAGTTTCAATGCTTTCAGTTCAAGGCAATATTGGGCATCACTTGAAGGTAATTCTCTGAGTCTTGCAGCTCACGAACCGTGATCGGACCAGTAGTTCTGGTTCTTCCTTTAGCATTTTGAATAAAACGTACGTCTTAATATGCAGGTACTTCGTAGATGTGTCAGTATATGATTGCCGCGTGTCTCTTATTTTCGTTGTACCCGTGGATGAGCTTGAAGGAGTATCTGTGGTAGCTGCACTGCATCTGATGTTTTCCTTTGGCTTTTTTTCTCTTTCTTGGCGTCTAGGTCCTCTGAGCAGTCATCTACATGTCTTTTTGTAACTTAGGCCATTGCGATTCTGGTTGTCTGAGATCATGAAAAGCAGGTCATTGCAACCAGTCCTTGAGTTGTTCAGCTTTGATAAGGGTGCTTGTCGTATTCTTTAAGTTTCTAGTTCATTAAGGATGGTGCCTACAAATTGCGAACCATTTTTATTTTTTTCAAATTGTGCCAGTCATATAAATCACCCAAGAGGCCACTGGAATCCGGAAAAAAAAATTGGGGGTACCCAGGCATCTCAGCAAGATAATTGACGTTAAGCACCAATGACCTAAGCACTTTTTAAGCAAGGGAAAAAAATCATATTTCGAAGTTGTTTTGATAGATTTTATCTGAAACTTGTTTCAAATAAACAACAAGTTATGTTCTTTATATTAAATACATAAACTTTTTTGGAGTGTAGGTAGAAGTCGAGGGTCGAGGGTCGAGGGTAAAAAGTCGAGGGTCCAATAGAAACATCAAAACAAACAGATTTTGTCTCAATAGCTATCAAATCTACTACTAAATGCACTAAATATTTTATTCATACTACATCTTTATACTTTATTCCTTTTAGACTACTCTGTTTCTATACCTAGCGATTCGATCCCCGGCATAACCGAAAAAACCCGTTACATCATGAAATAGAGACACTAGCTTGAAATCATATAAAACAACCTTTATTATAACAAACAGTACTCCAATAAGATATATACTATATAAGTTCAGAGGTCTCTTGTTCTTTGATTGAATCATGCATAAACAGTCTGCAAACATTTCATGGATCGTTTTTATATTATATAATTAATAGCACTGAAAACACTAAAGTCGATGAATATTATTAGTGTATACTCTCTGTGTATAAAAATATACTAATAAACAAGATATTACTTTATGTTATGTAAGAAAACAACGATTTGACGATTACTGTATAGTCTTGTACGCGTTAAGTGAAGAAAAAAACGTACAATAACCTTAACAGTACGTTATAAATAAAATATAACGTACGTTTATAAATAAAACATACTTTATATTAGCCCTAATTTCTCTGCAGTTTGTTGTTTCTGCAGCTCGGTCAAACACAACTGTGGATGTACACGTACCAGACCTGGACCAAAATAGGGATGTCTGGGCTTTATACAATCCAAGTTAGGGTGATAGTATCTATTTTGCTCGGTAGAAACACGGAAGTGTCCTTGCTTGAAATAAGTCTCTCTCCTTATGTTGAACAACAACACCTATAAACAGAGGACCATTTGGATCACTAAACTCAAATGGGCATCCAGCACATTTCCTTATTCGCCCACTTAAGGGGAATATAATGAAGGGGTTTTTGTTCTGCCAAGGTGTCAATGCCGATGCTACTGCTGGGGACAGTGTTGATGTTTGAGTTGGTACAATTTGAGGACTGGCTGGGATCGTTGTTGAAGGACTCTGTTGGCTAAACTGAGTTGGTTGTACGACTAGAGGTTGTGAAAGAGTAGAACTCGTGCGTTGCTTTTTTCGACGAGGGGGACGATGTTTAGACTTGGGGTCTATTTTGTAGTCAACTAAATGAGCTATGATAGTGATTTTGTGTATTCACAGTCAGAACAGAGTGAATCTGAGTCTGAGGACACCAAGTTTAACAAGGATCGGTTATTTATTGTGTTTGAAAGTCAACTAAATGAGCTATATACTCATTGTAAAATTTGTTGTTCTCCAGTCTGTGAGGTAGTTAAGACTCAAACTGGAAGCATGACAACAGTAAGTGTCACATGTCTTGGACACCATACATATAAGTGGAATTCACAGCCAATTATACGCAACACACCAGCTGGTAATCTTCTAATACCTGCAGCAGTTAGTGACTTTGACATGAAGAACTTTTCAGGAATATTCTCATTTTGCTGATGCTCTAAACCTGTGTTTCATAAGCTCTACACACTTTTACAATGTTCAAAATAAAATRATTTTCCCACTCATTAACAGAGCATACGAAAAACAGAGGAATGAAATAATCAATGACACAAAATCCCAAGGACCAGTTGATTTGTGTGGAGATGGTCGCTCAGATAGCCCTGGGCACAGTGCCAAGTACGGTACCTATACTTTGATGGATGAAAAATCTGGGAGAATTGTTGATTTTTCACTGGTCCATGTTTCTGAAGTATCCTCATCGCATACCATGGAATATGAAGGGTGCAAGATATCTCTTAACAAATTAATAGATCAAAAAGTTTCAATAAACTGCCTAACAACAGATCGCCACACCCAAATTACTGCTCAGTTGCGAAAAAACTATCCCTCCATTAAACATCAATATGATGTATGGTAGCCACAGATACAAAGTGGTATTTCCAAAAGGCCGAAAAACATGGGTAGCAAAGCCAGTGTTAGAAGATAAATTATACGAATTCACAACAAGAATAATGGAACAGGTGATTGATAAGCATGAAGGTGGGACCAAATTCACAACAAGAAAACCAATCAACATACCAAAAAATATTGCAACTGCACCAAAACCACCAAAGGAAGAGGTGATCAAGAACCACAAGTCAAGAATGGGAAGAAATCGAGTGATATTCAAAGTTAAGTGATTTAAGTGATGAATTGAATTAAAA